TACCAAATAAAGTCACTATGTAATGAGCTTTAGAGAACTATAAAGTAATACCCATCCATTTGAAAACTGAAACTAACATTTTAGAATCATGCATGATATTAAAAATATCTTTAAATGTTTGATGTGGGTTTTTGCTATTAATCTCAATAATGCTTTGTAGCATGTCTCTCAGTTTATTTAAGGGAATTGAAGCTCAGGGAAGTTACCACACTGTGCCCAACAACCAGTGCAGTACCTTTTCCAATAGAGCATGCCAATATCTAGAAAACAAATGTGTGCATGTAAAAGAATTCTTTATCCTTCCTAAGAAGTAAGAAGCTTTTGAAAATGGCTTTGTGCATCTCAACTATTTCAAAAGCTCTTCAGGGAAATTTCCTTGTTCTTCATGAATTGTTCCCATAGTAATGCAATAGAGTTCCCTCCCTTCATTGTTCAGGGGAACAGAAGGCCTTGAAGGTAGGGTGGGGTTGGGTGCTGGATATGAAAGTCCAGAGAGTAGTAGAAAACAATGCATGCTGGAGTTTAGAGGTCTGGACTGCTGGCCCAGCAGAGATGCTAATGTGATAGGTGAATTAGTTAGTTTCCAAGGACAGTCTACAGAAGTGAGGACAGTTTTCCATTTTCTACACTCTCCCTGGACAAATCTTTCTTTAAATTGTTTGCTCTTCTGTGTATGAGGTAGGAGCAGGGGATCAATAATTTTATTGCCAAGGTTCCACTTTTCATGGTTTCAACTGTTGTTATTTGAGATTCCCCCTGCTTTTAACCTCACACCTAATTTCCATCATCCACTTTATCTGATTCTACAAACAGAATCTCTCTTTTAGATTTTATCAGGTATCTTAGTTTCTTTCTGACATTTTTGCTTTATGTAATCACTGTAAATGTTGAGATCTATTTCTCTCATACATTTTCTTCATCTGCTTAAAAGAATCTACATGTTTGTAAGGAGATCTGCCATTCAGACCTAACCCTTTGGCCGTATTCTTTGTGTATATCTATGTGTGTGTGTGAGTTTGTGTGTGTTAATTTTATTATGACTGTGATTTCAAGAGAGAAAGGAGATGAATAGGTGTAAGACTTATACTATATGGTAACCCTTGGTAGATAGGGATGAGTTGTCAATAAATTGGAGTGAAAGACAGAAAATGGAACTGAAACATTCCTAAGGAAATGTAAATCAGGAGAAACCCTTAACTGTTAGGGAATCAAGATAAGGGCAAGTTAATATGGAACACAAGGATCAGGAGAAACCCTTAACTGTTAGGGAATCAAGATAAGGGCAAGTTAATATGGAACACAAGGAAACAAGTTACACTCTTCAAACATCTGGTTGAAAAGGTAGCATCATTCATTAATTCAACAGGTGTTTCCTGACTAACTGGGATGCATAAATTCTGTCCCAGTTACTTAGGCTGTGGAAATCAATATGTATCCATTGCTCATGACACTAAAGTAGAATCAGAAACTTAAGCAAATAAACCAAAAAGAGTATAAATACCATCCAATGAATGCTAAGTAGAAGACATATAATGTAGAAACAACTGGTTTTCAAAACTAAATGAGAAAATCATGTAACAAATATTATGGTTACTATTTTATAAAGTGAATGTTAATTATTTTTTACACAATTAGGGGTTTCAGAGTTAAAGTTAAAGAGTAGTTACTAGTATTTAGCTCAGCTAAGGTTCCTATGTGGCATATAGTTTAAAAGATTCATGCTTCCATTATATAATCAAAGGGATATTAGATGTGAAGCTCTAGAAGGGAGCATTTGTTATAGATAGGGTTCATTCCTATTTGGAGAAAGGCAATAAAGAAGGATCACTGAATCAACATTATGCACCAAGTCTAGCAGTTCCAGAATGATGTGTATTTTATGCAGGGATGTACTTCAATGCAAAGATAATGCCTTATTAGGGTGGGGACCCACATTTAGAAGGGAACATGTGTTTCCCAAAGGATAGACTCCCCTAAAGTATTCCTAACGAGATCACAACTCCTTATACTTACCCAGTGAATACTTTACAAGGATGCATATCTGTAGATAGGATTTTCTGTAATGAAAAGATAACTGCAGAATGCACACTAATTTTACCAACCCTGCGATTTCTCCACCTCTTGCCATACCATTATTTACTCCCACAAGTTCTCTTATCCTGTAATTGGGAGCAGCCCCAGAGAACCATAACTGTCAGCTACTCTCTTCAAATCCTTTCCAAGGATCTGGAGGATGAAGCCTTTAGATAGGATACATTTACTCCCAAGCACTGATTTTGTTCATTCTTAATAAAGAGTTGTTACCAGGCACAAGTCATGCTGTTATTAATTTCAAATTAAAACTCAGACTATGTATAATCTCTTTAAATCAGCTACTTTCCAATTCATTTATTTCAGCTGTAATTATGACTGATTGCTCAATTCTTATTGAAATAACTATGTGGGATTTAATTTTACTTGAAGCTTTTACAATAATAACTAGGAAATGTTTTTCACACAAATGTGTATGATAGCTATTTTTACCTTTTAAAATTAAGATATCAGATTTGAATACCTGATGTATTTTTCTTCATCATGTTAAAAGATATTTGCCTATTGTGTGGCTATGTCTAGGAGCTCCAACAAATTGAACTTTGTTTCTTTTTTTAATAAAAAACACATGCCAGCCCTAGAATAGCTACTTTATTGATACAAATGTATGATCTTATGCACATCCTCACATACTCCTACTCAGTCAAATATATGCATATATTTGTAGATCAGAAACAAAGCATTCCTTGACAAGATATTTTAAAAGAACAACAGGAGAGCTTCATGAAGGTTTATGTCACATCCTCTGTCTTTTCTTTTCTTTTTTTTTTTTTTTTTTGCATAGAAAAGAAGCTTCATTGATTGTTTTTATTTCGTTAAAAGGCTCAACCTTTCTGTTTGACACTGTGTTGTACTTAAGCTCATTCTTTATCATCTGACAGAAATCCTTTTTAAATATTGTTTAGGAAGCCAGATTTCTGTTGCTTTTTACTGATGCTAAACCTTATTTTTGTGTGTGTGATGTACTGCACAAAATTGTCTATTGATATGAAGCAGGCTGTGGAACGATTTTTCAGCTTTGATCACTCGAATGAATCGATTTTTAACAAGCCCTCTCTGAGGCAGCAGCTGCTGATGTGTAGCTAACAACTTCATTGAAGGGCTGGCTGCGTGTGATTTGCTGTTGCTAAGTGCTCTCTTCCAGTGAGCTTGTCTATGAAGACTTCCTCACCCAACTGAAGATCTTTTATTGGGTTAGAAAATGCTGTTAAATGTTATTTACTGATTAAAATGTAATTATAGGCTGTCTCCATTACACAGAATCATCAATTTACCATTAGTGCTACTTGGTATAAGCTTTGAAAATGCTAATGAAATTCAAAACTAGCCTTCCCACTGAACATGCTGAATAAAATGAGGAGGTGTTTGATCACCTTAAATGTGCAGGTTACTGGCATGATCTATTGTGGTGTTGCTTTCTGTGGTGCTTACTATTTCTGTGTTTATCTAGTAGGCTAGATTAGAAGGCATTGTTGTCTTCAGGGAAGGTCCACACAATTCGATGTCTCTCTAACTGTCAGCATCCTAACATAATTGGAAACATGAATCATAACACACCAACTATTTATGGCCCACTTGTGAGCTATGCTCTGGACCAGTATGCTAAGCTGAACAATTAACTATTGTCATCGGCTTCCTGAAAATAGCAATATAATTTCTTATCAGTTCCTCTCCCTTATTCTTTTTTGAATTTTTGTAATTAACAAGCCATGCTGGGTTAATTACCAATCAAGATAAAACCTTTATTTTTAAAAAGAATTTTCATTAATCACTGCAAGTTTTACTCATCAATGTATTTTACTGTAGTAATTTGTTAAATCTCTGTTATGAAGACAGTGTGTTAGGTGATTCATGCATATGACTGCATATATGCAGAATTAACCCTTTGAAGAATGAAATAGGTGGAAACATTTGTTTGTTTTTTCCTTAAATATAAATTTGTTACAGTTACCAGGTATATCATCATTGTCCTTTTCTTGTTGGAATGCAATAAGAATAGACTATCCTTTAAAATATTGAAAACATGACCCCATAATATTCATGATTTCTTCTTTACATTTTAAAATATACTTTAATTTTTCACTAATACTGAGATTTTCATCTTGGCCCAAGATTGACACTTTTAAGAGTTTTCTTGACAGCTGTGACTGGCAAGAATAGGACAGAATCAATGATTAAACTGGGTAAATCCAGGAAAACTGACCTGCCATAGCAAAGAAAAAAATTACTTCTAGTTGTGGAAATAAATATGTCAAACTAAAGTAATTGTGTTCATCCTCAGCCTACTTTGCTGAGAGGTTTGAATTCTATATGCTTATCAGCTACTTTACTGTCATGCAAATTTCACATCAGAAAGAGAACGAATATTCTACTGATGCACAAGTGTAGTCACCTCATGTCAGTATAAAAATTTAGTCTCCTATTAAAATAATTTAAGTTACAGAACAGTGGGATGAAACAAACATAATAAACTTTGAGTTTTGTTTTTTAAGGGTGGAAGGGAAACATATTAAGACAAAATTTCTTTTAATTTCATACTAAACTTTTTTCTTTTGTCTTCTTTACATTTAGTTCTTATTTTTGTGATGGCAAGAATGAAACAAAATTGGGGGTATTTTTAAATATTTGATAAAATACCAAAGGTAGTAGGGACCCAAAACTCCAAAACTATTTGTTAACAATATTTTCTTGTTAACTCTCATTTACTTTCTGTTAATAGGAGTGACAAAAAGAAGCATTTCACTCAGTTTCTGTGTTTGTTTCCTTTTTTGGGTGGGCTCTGGGCCTCAGTGTTGTTTTAGGAAAACATTTTCATTTTATGCATAATTATAAAGTCAAAAACAGGGGACTGGAAAACAGGCACGGAGTGGATTTTGTGTGTTTTAATCTATGTTTATTCTTCACACTAGCAAAGCGTGAATGACCAGGACACCTAGACCAGAGACCGCCCTGTGTTACCCAGCCAGGTATCGTGCAGGAACCTCACGAAGACCTCTGGGTTCTCTCTTACTTACTCACCAACTCACAGCTGTTTAGTGATTTACCTCCTACCACTTTCATCACACCTTTGAGTAAAATTAGATGCTTCTCTAAGCCTTTCATTTCCTTTCATTCTGCTACATGAGAGGAAAAATGCTCTGTCAAGATTCCTAGATGTTTGAAGACCATCTTTGTTTAAATAATTTTCTCAGAAAACACATAAAGTTTCTATCACTTTTATAAAATGGCAATTCTATCTTCTTCTTTGAAAACATGTTAGAATAAAAGATGCCTGACACCTGATTAGGAAAGTGACATATATTTTACTTCCTTTCAGATGAAACCTTCTGAAAATGTATTTACTCACTGGGGCGGTGACAGCCTGTCCGGCAAAAATAATTGATATCCTTTCTGGTTATTAGAAAAAGAGAACAATGAAACAAGACCTTTCTCCTACCTTCAAAGATGAATACAGTGGGAAAAAAAGAATTGGCATTAAATTAAGGTTTCCTTTTAGGCACATCTATCCAGTGACACATTCTTGTATAATTATAGGAATTCTTTGCCTCATTGGGGTCAATAACCTAGTCTGGTGTAATATTTTCAAATATTTCTGCCATGAAAGGTATATTCTTCTCTTGAGCTAAAGTAAAATATATCTGAAAATAAGCAAATTCATATGATATTGTATTTCCCTGAAATGCTACGTATATCACATATAGTAGTGTGACTTTTATAATTCAGCTTAATATAAACAAAAAACCTTTTCTAAATAAATGTTCATTTACTTCTGAATGAAATTTGAGTGGCTGGTGCAAGGATATATAAGTTAAGTGATTGTGAGAAAACCTGGACCTACTTTTGGAAGTTTTATTTTTAACCTGCATAAAATAAGTAAAGGAATAGTACTTACTTAATAGAACTCTCTGTTCTGAGGCTTCTCTGCAGTGATGTGTAAGGAATTATATAAGTAATTCTAATTATTGTGGATTACCTTTATAGAATTGTGGCTTTGCTTCTTATTTGTACAAAGCACATGTAGGCAAAAATTAGTCTATTCTAAAAGAGGATCTGTCAGTTATGCTGTAAAAAAATTAACACCTGGTTGTTATTATTATATTAATTACTTATTTTCAAAAGGTTGCAACCAAGGCTGAGAAAAGGTTCTTTTAAGCACCACTAGCCATTCATGGTGGAACACGCCTGTCATCCCAGGATTTGGGAGGCTGAGGCAGGAGGGTTACCGCGAGTTCAAGGCCAGTTTGAATTAAAGACTGTCTCAAAAAATTTTTTTAAAAAGAATTTTAAAAGCATCACTGTTTTCATAAGAATATTTACAACATTAATTTCTTAAATTTTTTCATAAATGCTTTTTCCTTCTTGTACTGTTATACCATCAAAATCAAATTATTATCTATAAATATATTAATATATATATTTTCTTGGTTCCTGAAATGTCATCACAGGGCAATGTTACTCGTTTTAAAACTCTGTAAAGTAAGGGTATTCACTGTAGTAGAAAGGTGGATTAATCCACGGCAGTCCCAGGAACCAGAAACTGAGCCACTTTGCCAAATTCCATATTACTCAGAAATATCCCTGTTTCTAAAGCAAAGCATTCTGCTGTACATAAATCAATCTGTGGCAGATCCCATCTGATCACAGCGTTGTTGTGAGGCATCTGTAAAAGTCATGCTTTGCTGACCTAATGGACTCTCTGTCTTCAGGGAAGAAGAAAATCGGTTGTTTCTGTAGGTTATAAAGTTCCAAGCCATTGCTTCCCACCTGAGTGAATTAATTCCATTATAGTGATTGTTTCCATAGTTAACAAGTAACTTGTCAGAGGGCTAACTGTCCATGTCTGTTCTCCAAGCCATTAGGCAATAAATTGGATATAATGTGTAATTTTCGTTTTTGAAATAATGAAATATATTATGTTAAATCCTCTACACTCAAATCTTCTTCAGCAAACCCATACAATTTCATGTTTCTGATCGTTGAAAACTACAAAAACTCCCGCTTTTCAAGAGAAACTCCATTTTCCATCTAGGCTTATTGCCCGGCTCCTTTAAGAATGTTTGACCTTGGGGAAGGAGACATGGAGAGCGTATTTTTACTTGATTTCCTGCACATTTTCTCAAATCTGCCCTTGAATCTTTTAACTCTTCACTAAACGTGTGATTCTTAATGAATCTAAAGAGATTCAGAATTTTGCTAAATGTTATATATTATTGTAATTATTCCATGGATAGCGATTCTAACCTTAAGGATAAATATTATAAATCATAAATTAATTAAAACAATGAATACTGAGAAACAGTGATTTTAAAAATAAAGTGTGTTAAAATATTACATCATTTTCTTTACATTTTAACATGTAAAATATATTGCCATATTATCTCACCATTTTTCATTTTTTTGCCTCGTTATTGAATTTAGCACTAATTCTCTGAATTGAAAAAATTGAAGTAAAAAGGGTGACCAGCCCTGACTAGTTAATGACAAAACAAAGGTAAGAGCACAGACGTACTTAAAACACCATCTCCTCTGGTATCTAGTGGCAGTAATGCATGGGTACTTTATCAGATTTTTTATCTAATAAATCAAGCTCCTTCCTCAATAATTGTGACATTTGTTGCTTTCAGATAACATGAACAATTCATGCCACCAAGCAAATAATAGCAGGCCTGTTTACTCCCTGCCAAACTGTCAGATACGGAATCTGCCCTGATGTAGGTACAGGCACTGGTGCTACTACATGAAAAATGTGAAGGAAGGTGTTTTCTTTAACAATAACCAGAGATTTCATTTGGCATGTCATTTACATATAAGACAGTACTATCAAACTGTGAAGCAGCTACCATATTGCCAGTCATAGTTCACTACATTGTTGTTTTTCTTCTTTAAGAGAACGGTATAACCTCTATCATTGCAAATTCTCAAAATGAATTATCACTGAAAAAGCTACATTATTTTCAATCAACATGTCACCAACCGTTTCCATCTCTTGTTTTCATGGAGAAATTGTGTTTCCAGTACAAAAGCCACAATGAAGACTTTACGTAGAAGCCAACATTAAAATGATGCCAACAGGCAGATGGAAACCAAGTTAGAACGAGAAAATTGTGAGCCAGTTCCCTAGCTGTGGCTTTAACCTGGTTTTACCCTGATTTCACTGTCCTTATTGCTGGGATTCCAGTTGTTTATAAACTGAATTCCCATGTAGTTATCTTGCTGACACTATAAAATGGCATATGATGTTTTGTGTTAAGTCAATCAATGCCTTGTGCCACTCCTGTATTTATTTTGAGTTTTCAGTCCTCGTGCTTTCCTCCTTCTTCTGATATTTTCTTCTGCTGCTCTTCTGAAAATCACCTGGCCATGAAGCAGAGCTTCTTTTCAGCAGCTGACAGGTTGTCACTGAGGCCTACCAACCAATTCACACCCCAGGGGACTCTGCCCTGGGAAGAGGTTTGCTATCACTTCACTGACACCCTGGTTAGCTTAGAAGTTACTCCTCGTATTTGGACTTCTTCAAGGTAATCCTTAAATATGAAAAATAACTGGTTGTTTTGAGCTTATACTTGAAAATGAAACAAGCAATAAAACAAGTTCATTTCAATTGGAGAAATAGTCTGTTTCAAAAGATCAGTGGATGAATTTTCTGACTCCATAACTTAAAATCCTTTGAATAAGGTCCCCAATAAGAAACTATTTACAGCATGACTTTTTGTTCACTCTTTGAAAACAAGGTTATCCCTATTACATAGAATTATCAAAGTATGATTTCTTCAATTTCAAAATATGATTATCATATGTGATGGTTTATATTTCAACTTTACTGGGTCAATGAATCCTGCCTAACTGGAAAATAATATGTCTATGTGTATGTAAGAATATTTTTGAAAAAAGTAGCATTTGAGTTAGCAGAAGATTTCACGAGATCTGTTGCCTGCAGTATAGCAATGTAGGTAGGCATCAACCATCCAATCTTTCATCTCCCTCCCTCCGCCCATCTCCCTCCTTGATGGTCTTCCTCCCCCTTCTAGAACTGGCACATCCGTTTCCTCTTGTCTTTGTATTTCAGAGCTACTGGTTTTCAGGCATTCAGACTCAAGAGGCTTACACCAGCACCAACCATCTCCTACTTTCCACTCCCCCCAGTTTCAGGTTGTGAAATTGGTCTTCTTTATACCACTGGCTGTCATGAGTCTCCAGCCAATTTATAAATGCCACGTCATGGGCTGCTCAGGTCCCATAATACCCTGAACCCATTATCATAATATATCTACTTTTGTATATGCTTCTGTGTATTCTATTAGTCATGCTTCTGTGGAAAACTCTAGAACATCATATAAAAATAAGATGAACATATCAAAGATTTCATTCAACTTATTAATGAAGAATCAGATAGGGTTTTCAGTTTTTATTTTTTATTAGCATGTTTGCATTACATAATGATTAAATTCCTTGTGGGAATTGGTAATACATCTCAATTTTTTTTATCTTCTTTCCCTCCCCTCCTTTTCCTCTCCCTCCATCTCTTGATCACCTTCTCATTTGAAAAACATTATCTACTTACTTCCTATTATCTTTTATTTTGATCTATTACTTATTTGTATTTTGAGTTTGTCTTATAAGAGAAACCGTGCAATGTATAACTTGTATGTCTGATTTATTTCATTTACTGTTGTGATCTCAATGCATCCATTTCCTATAAATGACTCGTTTATCCTTCTTTATTACAGAGTACTACTTCATTGTGTTTAAACACTGAGTTTGCTTTATCCATCTATCTATTGATGGAAATACAGACTGCTTTCAAGATTTAGCTATTGTGATTTTTGTGCTGCTGTCTACATGGGTGTACATGTATCACTATAATATGATGTCATTAAGTCTTTTGGAGAGATACCTAGAAAAGGAGTAGCTGGTCAAATGGAATTTGAAGTTTTATTTTGCGGATTATCAATACTGATTTTTATAGTGGTTCTATGTTCCCACTGAACCTAAAAGTGTTTCCTTTTTCCCTCAGTCTTGCCAGCCTTTTGTTAGTGTTTGATGTTTTGGTAGTAGCCATTCTTTCTGGAGTAAGATGGAATTTCAGATTGAATCTAGACCCAAATATTTCCAACAGAATTTTAAGAAGAGTTAAATGATTGGAGCATTGAGTACTTATAAGCAATTTAATAAAGAAATATGAAGTTACATTCAAATATTTCAAGGAAAAAGACACTATGGTAACTACTATTAAGTCGGGTTATTTGGTGGTGAAGCGCTAGGTTGCTGAAACTGTCATGCTTTGACCTGTATTGTTATGTTGTTATGTCCTCTTTTATCTCAATCTCTCCCTTATTCATTAAAAAAATTAGTTATTTTTTATGATTTTTTTCATTAAGGGAAAAAATCAAAAAAATTTGCAGGATATATAATAGTAACTTTTTTTGATTTCCCATTAACTTGATTTGAAGTCCTGTAATACTCCCACTATCTTGTTTTGACTGATTAGACTCTGTTCCGTTCTGTATCATAGTATCCAGTTTGAGGGTATAGGCAACTACTTTGAAGGCAATAAGATTCACTATGATGCCCATTCTGGTTTGACTATTATCTTCTTTGGAAGTCCTGTAATGTTTACAAGGTTTAGGTTTTATTGATCTTGTTCTCTACTGTTTTGTTCAACTTTAAAATACCTAATGAGATAGACAATTCTTTTTAAGGAAGCAAGAGGCATTATGGTAACCATTGTTGATAACTTTGTACTCTGTTTTAACATCATGTGCTATGTCTATCCTTGGTTTTGACTGACAGCTGTGTTTTGCCATATTTGACTTTATTCTCTTCCAAAAAAAGTAATAAGAACCAAGGAATAATAAAACCCAAAATGTGTAAATTTTGTTGTAAAATAGAGAAAAAAAAGTGCTCTAAAGGATACAACTGCAAGTATCTTTAGGGGTGTTAAATAGATGACCATATTAATGTTTTTGGTTGAATCATTGAACACAACTGTTTGCAGTCTCAATGTTTGAATGTCCACTTTGTATGCTTTGATACTGTGACTTGAGCAACTATCTCTAAGATGATAATATGTAATCTATTAACTGGTGATTTCTTACTGTTTTTTTTTTTTTGTGTAGTTCTGTATTACTTGTACCCTTACACCGCTTTGTTTTGTCTTGTTTTTTCTCTTTTTCCTTTTAAATAAAATTTTTTAAAAAAGATAAGATTGTTAAAAAAAGAAAAAAATCCTGAAGAATGTGCAAAATGACAATCAACTGTGACTTGTATCTTTCCTTTTGGACAAAAAGATTTGCATTTCTACTAAACAGAAATCTACAGTTTAGCAGGTAATTTCACTGGATTCAGTCTCTTCATTAGTACTGAGTCACACTTTATTCATATTCCTCAATAATTCTTGGTTAGGCCTACAATGCCCACATAAAATACTGAAAGACTATATATCTTCCAAACTTGGTTGACTTTTTCTTAGTAGAATGAATGCAAATATTTTCTATGACATTCTATCATTTATTACACAGTTCACCAAATTATTTTTATATAACCACCAGAGATTATGATACATTTTATATAATTCTGTAGATTTCTTTCTTTCTCATGAGTGAAAACCTAACAAGAATAGGTGGAAAAGAAGGAGGAAGAGTAACTAAGGAGCTCTAAGGGAGGGAAGGAAACCTCTGCAATTTGTTTTCAGGGAAAACCAGCGTTCTATGAAATGAGAAGACTTTTCTAATGTAAATCCTAATGCTTTCCCTCACAAGACACAGATTTGGTTTAAAGTGCAACTTCACTCCCCACTTTGTGGAATTTAGACAATTTTGTATAGTTTAAGATGAATTACTTACCTAATACTATTGTCTAACTTTGCATATTAGGAAACTAAGACTCAAGACCAAAATAAAGTTTTCCATCAGCCAGAAGTTCCATGGGACAGCCTTAGTGTGCAGCTGTGTGTGAGCACCGCCCCCGACCCGGGAGTTTTAAAGGAGAGTTACCAGTTAAGAAACAGCACACAAAGCTTTATCTTCTTGCTCAGTCGTGTAGTCTCTAAAATTGAGAGAGAGATTTTGTAAGGATTAAAAGATGGACTATACATGAATATCTTTGTAAAATTGAAAAGCACTTTGGAAATCTAATAGTTGATCTATTTTCACACATTGAGAAGTAATTGAGATCATGAGTCCAATGTCTACGTAAGTCCAGTTGATTCAGTAAGTGCCTTCTCTTTTTATATACAGTTCATATTAAAATATACAAAAATATGGTAGCTATTATTGTTAATAGACCATCCTTGTAAAATGCTCTAAAATTTCTAACTTAAAGAGCACCATTCTGATAAAATGTGCCATTATTATATAAGGCGTTCCACCAGCAGAGGTTTCTAATTATTCTTTCCATGCATAAAAAATGCAGCTAGAAAAGCTGATAAATGGCCAGCAGCTACTTCCCTGCTGATTACACAAAATTTCATTATAGTAGAACATTTAACAATTTAATTCCGAGCTCCCATAGGAATAGTCTGTAAAATGTTTTTGCTTAGGTCTCTCTTTAAACAGTGAATTCTCAGTTTAAATACAATGTACATCAAGCCTTTGCCAAAAGCAGAATTAAATAATTTAGTTACCAGAGATGAGCCTGAAGATGATGGATAATGACAGAAAACTAAACACAACCAAGACATGGTCCAGTGTTCTCTTATTATTATTAGAAAGACAATAATTATTAAGATGAAAATAGGCAGTTTTGAAGCAAAAGCTACTCTCCTGATCACTAAGGCATATATCATTTAATTTCCTATACATACTATAAACATTTTTAAGGTGTCTTTATGTATTTTATTTACGCCTTTCTTTTACAAAGTGCTTCAGATAGTTGTAGTAATGGCTTCCTTACTTTATATTTTATATTTTTATAATTTGTATTTATATATTCTGTGTTCCTTCTCCTACCCCTGCGTCATTTCTTGATGCTCCTGATTGCATGAACGAAACAAGGTTCCCCTGAGGCACTAATGTGTCTTCTGCCTGCTGCACTGAGCAGGCGTGTTCTCCCATTGTTTGTTGTTGTTGTTGTTGGGTTTTTTGTTTGTTTGTTTTTGTTTTGGGGTACAGGATTGAACTCCAGACCTTGTGCTTGCCAGGCGGGTGCTGTGCCTGCTGAGCTAAATCCCCAGCCCCTCCCACTGTTAACTGGAAGAGCAAGCTCCAGCCCCACTGCTCTGAAAAGTCCACAGGCAGCGCAGGGGGCCGAGGCCTAAGGAGGCTGTCTAAGTCTGATAATGCGAGGAAAGCCTTGGAAGGACTGACTGGCACATCAAATGGCGTTTATTCCCACCTTCCAACCATCTCGGGGATCTTCTTCTTGTGCCTTCCTCATGTGACTTCTATGAACACCATTTTGGACACTGCTTCCATTGGCTAAATGCTGACCATCTTATTCCCTTCTTTTCCAAGGATCCTGAAGGATGATCAGTTATTTCAGTTACACCCGGAAGTACTCCCATCTCTCATTCCTGCTGAGATGCTCTGGCACACTGCTGACCTCACCTTTTGTTCACACTAGGCCCTCTGCTTCTCTTTCCTCTGCAGGCACAACACGCACCACACAAGTTCCTGCCCACGCACATGGACAGCATTTGGGGTAGGGAAAAAGAAAGGTTTGCAGCCAGATCAACCAGTGGTTGGGTCCTGTGCTCATCAGCTGCATCACCTGTAAAAGTGTGCTCACTTCTCACACCTCTGCACCCTACTCTGAGAACAGAGACACCCCACACACTAGGACTTGTGGATGAAAGAGAGCCTCCAACCCAGCACTCACACTGCTGTCCCTGTGGAAGGCCCTGTAACACAGGCTGCTCCAGGCCTAGTGCTCCTGGAATGTACTCTGCCTTGCCTTTTTTCAAACGTTCACTTTTTTGTTGTTGTTAAATTAGCATCTTCCTGTTGGGCAAGACTACTTAAGACTTAGGAAAAGAGGTTGACGAGATGACAACAGTGGGGAAGTTTCATCCTGTTTAATAACCGTACAAAGGCCTTACAATAACTTCTGCCTGTACCACCTCCCCTCCCTTCCATTTCTTACATCCACTTGTACGCTTTGAAGGCCAAACTCAGAGTCTTTTAACTGTATTAACATTTTATTTGATTATCACAGCTGCTGGTAACTTCTCTCACTTTCCATGGACTTTTAAAATGTTATTATTTATTTATGTTTGTTTTCTTCACGTCTCTCGTTTAGCATAGATATGTCTCACTGTTCTCATTTGTTTAATTGACCCAAAGAGCTGTCCTCTACCAATGTTTTGCAACCCAAGAATTAGAAAAATATATTTAAATTGTTAACTCAGACCTAGAGAGAAAAACATTAGCTATAATCCTACAGATGTGCAGCATCCTCTATTTTACCATCACTGAATACTGTAAAATGAAATAATTTCACAATGATTTTCTTCTTCAGTCGTTGTTGTCTCCCAACTTGGTGCCAAAATTCAACAAATGAAAAACAGGATTATTTTCCTTGAATGCGCTCCTGTTTTCATTGGTTGTTAGCAATTCCAAGGCCTGGAGACTTGGGCAAGATTCCAGCCAGGACATTATGGGGAAACTTGCCATGTCCCCACTCAGTTTGAGTCCTCTTTCTTACAGTTTGGAAGTTTCAGATGAAGCTGTGTTCACGGTTCCCATACTCTCTGTTTAAACTGAGACCAGCCTCCAAGATAAGAACTTTTTTGAAATTTTAGAAATTTAGTATAAGAAAGCCACTCACTGATTTCATTCCAGTCAAATTTCCCACAGGATTCACAGAGAGTTATAGATCACATCTTATGTCATTTGGTGAAAATGCAAATAATCTATGTTTTTAAAAAGATAAATTTTCCTATTTTGACAACTGGGTCTTGGATTAAAATCTCACACTTTATCACAGGTTATTGCTTTATTTTTTTCAAAACTTTTGGTGAATTGCCTTTATGAAATACATAATATTTCATAATGTAATACATAATATTACATACATAATACATAATATTACATGATGTAACAAACTTACATGTTTGTAATTTTTAATTTCTTAATTGCCAAAAAGAGAGAGTGTCCTTTGCTTAAGGAGAAGAGTTAGTTGGCACAAAATGTATATCTGTTTGTAAAATGTATATATGCTTTAAGTTGAACTGTGATTCAGGTATCTAGAAGATGAGTACTGTGGTATTACTATGCTTGCTTCCATTTGCAATTTGCAATTTTGCAAGCAAAACTGACTTGCTGCTTTCACAATATCGTTGACTTTGGACAAGAAAACGCATATGTATGTCCTAAGGGAGAAAAGTGGGAAGCATGTCTTTCTTTTAACATCCATCTATGTTTTAGCATAAATCTGTGATTTTATTGTAATTATTCTTTTAAAGAAAGACAAAACGTGAATGATTTCCCTTGTAACAAAGCATCCTGATTTAATTGTGTGTAGTAGTTTATTCTGGTTTCTGACGTCAGTTGTGTTCTTCCTGACAAGCCCCTGTTTCTTGATTCCCTCGCTCCTGCTACGTCTTGTAGCTTGACAAGAAGACATGAAAAGACTGATGAAAACCTGCCTCATGCCTCCAGCGCTCGGCATCTTACCTCAGCACTTACTCAATACTTATTTATTGAATAGTAACCTAATTTTCCCTCTAATGCAAGAGTTGGTATGAGGCAAAAAGCAGTGGACTCGAGTTGTGACACACAGTGACAGCATGGGGCTAGGGAACGGGACCTCAGATGCCAGCAGGACAAAAGGTGCAGGGAGGAGAAGGATGGAAGCTGCTCCACCACAGCAGTCGGGGAGCCGCGGGACTCCCACGGGTGTTAGATGCGTGAGGGTGGAACTTCTCTCTTCTTTTCTTCTTCTTTGATGTCATACACCTTGCACAACACTTGATGTGGAGACATTGAAAAATGCCATTAATAAACACTGTTGATACAAACAGAAATAGCATATTCTGAATACAAAATGGAATTAATTGATACCTTTTCACCTCTGAAATACTTTTAGGTTTTACCAGCGTGATTCTGAAGTTGATGCTCTCATTTGACAGAAAACATGTTCATATCAAACAGTAATGCTATATGCATAATCACTACTGAAAGTAATATTCCCTGTTTATTTTTAATATTCAGTTGTGTGGCAGTGACTTGGTGTTTAGTAAAATACAAGGTGATGCAGATACAATAACTTTTAAAACTTCTGTTTTGGTAGAAAGACAGGATTTCTAATCAGTGCTCCACCTTTTAATGTCATTGAATTGATGCTTATGTATTCAGGGAAAAAAGAGAAGAGGAAAAGATACAGATTTCTTGAGAGAATGAAAGTTAACAGTGATTAAGTGCAGTACATAAAATTATCATTTTTTTTTTTTTTGTCTTTTTCATTTTTATTGGTACCGGGGATCGAACTCACGACCGCCTGCTTGCAAGGCAGGTGCTTATGCCGCTGAGCTAAACCCCCAGCCCCCTAAAATTATCATTTATGATTAATTCAGTTCAATTAATTCCGTCTATCTATCCCTTACTTGATTTATTCAATCAACTAGCATTTGTTTTAAAACCTATTTTGTGTCAGGCTCTGCGCAACACCCTGAGAGTACAGGGATCAAAGACTCCATCAAAGAATTCAGTCTGTGTTAAAGACAGATGTATTTGCAGCACCTAGGGGCAGCAGAGCTTCCCGCTAGCAAATTACAGGGGGCTGGCAACCTAAGGGGCCGGCTTCAGCAGCGGGCCTCACAGGGACCAAAACAGTGTCTGGACACTGGAGGAGTTCTCTGCCTTCAGCGGGCTTACAGTTTTTATTTCTCCTAGCTTTAACACATACGCTTTTTGACAGTTAATTGTGAAGATGCTTATAGCTCTGAGAAACCTCGGTGAAATTTCTGGAGAGAAAGACGGGATATAACCTCAGGCCTGATTCGAGTATTGTCATTCCCTACTGCAAAGAATTTCAGCACTATCATGATTTTTACTTAAAGCCACATTCACAGGTCTTCTCCAGGAAGAAAATCCAGCTAGTGAAGGCTAATTTTGGTGACATGACATGTTCGTAATATTTCTATGTTATCTATGAAATGCTGTAAACCTGTTTGTCCCAAGAAAACTCTTGCATTCCTGTCTTAATTAAATCTTTCAAACCAAGCAGTTTTCTGCAGGCTATAATCCATTCATTCAGGTGTAAAAGGCTGGAACCTATTTACATATTCACCACCCTGATAGCTGTGTCTGGAATAAAATAAATTTAGTTCTGAGTTGTCTGGCTTCTGCAGATATTGCAATTACTATTGTGTATTCAAGATTTCTCCTGAAGGATTCATTATTTAGGTCAGTTATGAAAAATACTAGAAATATGAAAATAGATTGTAAGCTCTTGGGGGCAAAGACCACATTCTGATTTTAGTTTTCTTTATTGCTCTGAAAGTGCTGTGTGTGCCTAACACTCCTTATAAATATGTAAATAAAAATAACATGATTAGCCAAACTAGAATAAAAGAAAGAGATTCTTTCTTGTAAAAGGAACTTTATGTGCTAAAATAACTGGACTTTAGTAAATGCAGCCACTGGGGAAAGAATGTTCTGGACTACATAGCTGTAGGTTTATTTTCTTAGGCTCATCACAATGGCAATAATATTTGTTTGAAGTTATAGCAATGAACTAAGATAAAAAGGCTATACATACACACCAGTAATTCAGTACCTGGCAAGAAGAGTGATTAGAGGGGCTAGGGATTTAGCTCAGCAGCATAAGAGCCTGCCTTGCAAGCAGGCAGTCGTGAGTTTGATCCCAGTTACTGATAAAAAGGAAAAAGTCAGAAAAAAAAAAAAAAAAAAAAAAAGAAGAGTGATTAGAGAACCAAGTTACCTTATCAGTCACTAGTGGTTGGGGAATGGCAGAATGCTGAGGAAAGAAAAGAGGCCAAGAAGTAGAATTCCAAGAAGGATAAAACAGACAAATGACTCAGCTTATATTTGAGGGGTCCTCTGAGGGACACCTGCACTCAGAGGAAATGTGATGTGAGAGAGTTCTGAGAATTACTTTAAAATGTAATATATATAGGTATATGTATATAAAGCAAAGCATAGCGATAGCTATACTGAGGAGTCCACCATCTGTAAAGCATAGTCTGGTTTTATGTTCTGAAATGCAAAAAGCAATTACCTGCTGGATAGAACGAGGGCAGATGAGCAAGGACGAGATTACAGGGCAGCAGAAGCCTGTGGGCAGTCAGGAAGGCCGAGACACAGAATGAGTTCCAATTAGAGCGGGTCACCGAGGAGGAAAACAAGCCTTTCATAACACATCGGAAACAAGAGCAAGGTGAAAAGAGGCACAGGTGACTCTGTTAATAAGAGGGGAAATGGCTCAAGATGGAGAAACTGTAGGATTTATGTTTATTTTTAGATTATGGGAAAGGGAAACGCATCACGAATACGGGACCGACTGCAGCCCCCAATCTGAGGCTCTGAAATAGTTATTAAAGGAAAGATCAAGCAATTAAAACTTCACTCATCACAGACACATTTAGTAAGAGATTTCCTGCAGGGATCAATGGAATGGATAGGAATCTGCCTTCTGAAGACTCTTGTTTTGTGTGATTCTTACAGATAGGGAGCCACCAGGGGTCGGATGAAGTTTCACAAATTAGTCCTCAGAGACTTCTCTGCAATACCTGTCCTTTTATATAAAAGTGCTGGAAATGAAATTATTATAACTAATTTTAAATATAAGACATGTTGGAGGTAATATCATTTAAACATATTTTAATACTTAAATATTGGACCATTTCTTCCCAAGTCAAGCAACCATGCTTTGATTCATAACTAATACAGGTGTGTCAATAGAAAATTAAATAACTTCAGTTTAGAAAACCATTTCACTAAAAGCTAAAGATTAACTTTGTCATTGCTTACATTTACTTTATATATCATTTTTCAAGTAGTGCAATACAAGGATAAGGTTAATGATATGCTATTCTACCTAGAAATACCAAAGCATCTGAACATGATATATTGGGTAGATGGCCCCAGAAATTAACTCATTTCAGTGGCATTTATCATGCATTTCATAAGGACATCTAACCATTTTACTGATCAGGTGAAGTAGTGCGATAACAATATGAAATGACATTTTTTTCCAAATACACTTAGGGGCTAGAGATTTAGCTCAGTGACATAAGCACCTTCCTGGCAAGTGTGAGGTCATGAGTTGGATCCCCAATACAAAAAAAAAAAAAGCACTTTTAAATCAGATTTTTGTGTCTACCTTTAATGGTGTCTTAACTGCAAGAGTTTAAAGAATACGGTGCTAGTAGTGAGGACTAGAACCACTTGGTTGTACTACCTGCTCATTGTGTGTCCTCAGGAAAAGCATGTAACCATTTGTACATCATTCTGTCTATAAAATGGAAAGTGAAAATGTACCAACTTCAAATGATTGTTATGCAGATTAATTAAAACTACCTGGTACAAGTGAAACACTCAGTAAGTGTTAGCATTATTGTACCAGTCAAATTTATGTTTCTTTTAGTCATGCTTAATTATCACTCAATTCAGTCTTTTCTTAAACCCTCATCCCCTCTCCTTTCTGTAGTTTAGTTCTGATGCTAAGTTGAGGGGATGCTGTAAAGAAATAGGCAAGTTTCTTTTCAAGCCATTTGAACTTGTAACTCATGTTGAGGCAGGCATTCAGCTTATGGTAGAAAAGGCAAGCATCCCAAGAGGAGGCCAGATTTGAGTTCCTCCACATAGATGGAATGGAGACCTTAAGTAATGGGAGAAATGAAGTCTCTGTGGCCCTCCCCTGGCCATATATGAAATCCATGTATGTCCTAAGAGGGGTTGGCATAGGAAGATAGCAAAGCATAGCTCCCTAATGTAAACTCTGACTCTTTGATATTTCCCTTATCTCTTGCTAACCAAGCAACCCCATAACGAGTCTGCTCTATTAGCAGCCAGTGACACTGGAGAGACACTGACAAGACAGCCAGGATTCTATTTCCTGGAACTTTTTCAGTTCTCATGTTCTGCCCTGAAAAGTGTTAAGAATGCAGAGAATGCTCTATACTATCCTCAGCCTTCTGATTATCAGGAATAGTGATGGCCAGTATGTACGCATACTATGCCCCAGCCTCTCAATACGCTCTGGCCGTGGTTGGCCACACACATTTCAGTGTGTACAGCACCAGACAAGCAATGTATCTTTGCGTTCAGCTTTGGTGCTTGTTATCAGTTCTGGACAACGTGAAATGCTTCTCATGACCTTGTTGCAAATATACAACAGTTTAAACCCAAGGCTTCTCGTTGTAGACTTATCTTCAGAGTCTTTAGACTTTTATCTCTGAGTTCTAACAGACTTTTTATCATTAAGAACGTCAAGTAAGAGCATGAGGAGCTGAGTCTTAAATATCTGATTTATTTCCTTTTGCTATCTGCCTTTCAACCTCATATATGAAATTCATTTTTAATTATTGACATCTTGGGAACCCCTATTGATGCAATTTCAAAGATTACAGTCCATTAAAGTTTTCCCAAACCTATACACGCGATTTAGCTATATAAAATATGCAGTAATAGGTATTTTAGAAACATACGTATTTACTCATTGTGTTCACAGGCCAAAAAACCAAAGCCAAGAAGAGTGCAGTCACTGGTTCCACATTACCATACTGGCCACAGATCTCCTCTTCTGTTGGAGCTCTCAGTGAATGCTGTGATTGGCTCCTCCTGTACCACAAATTCAGTGAGAGATGGAATAGCAATGCATTCAAGATCAAGATCATTACATAATGGCAGAAATATAATCTTGTCTTAGTCACTTTGTTCATGGCTGAGACACAATCCCCAAAACCCGGAGAAGGGAGTATATGTTATAGACCATAGTAAACTGGCTCCAAGACAGAAGCTGCAAGGCAAAGGGCAGAGTGGAGGAAAGCAGCTCAGTTCTTAGCAGCCAGGAAGCAGAGAGAGCAAAGCGGAAAGTCAGAGAGGAAGACATGACCATCCCTCAAGTCCCCAGGGGCCAGTGTCTAACAGGGCCCTTTTCCTAACAGCACAGGCTGTTGCTGAATTCATTAGCAGCATTCATGGATGAAATAGACCCTGTGAGCCAACCACCTTCCTAAAGCTGTGCGCCTGTGAGTTTTAATTGACATTTGAGACCTAAACCACAACAAGTGTCATTTGTGGGTAGCTCAAAAAATCAGATGCAAGCTGCTCATAAAAGTTCATCTTTGATCTTTGATATGTTAGATGTTGACTGCTTTTCAGTGGTGCCTGTCCCCCAGGCTGTAACCCTTGAAACGAGATGTCTTATCAGTACTTGCTTACTTTATCCCAAGATTCATGTGAAGAAAGCAAGTTCTCACACTGCCTTATGTTTAATAGCCTAACAATGTTGTTGGTTCTTACATGTTCTAACTAAGGAGAAAGTACTCATGAAGGGAACTTGTTCAATGCAGACTGAAAACTGCTTCAACTTTCATATCACAACTTCCAATACTCAGTAATCAAATGGAAAAAAATTAGAAAGTCTCCTTAATAAAATACTGCCATTTCTCTGGGTGTACTTCCCTGTTATTAGCTCATTACATCAACTTTACTTTTGATTTTGTGTGTTAGTAACTTCTCAGCGTAAGTCTGCTATGAGAAAATTGGTAAATAACACTTCAACTGTGGAGGACTGATGTCATTAAAGGTCATATTACATATATATTTTTTCTTGTTCTCTATTGATAATCTGACCTTGCCATCTTAAGAATGACTCTGAGATGACACTGATGGAATTTACTGTGGATGAAAGTCAGATCTAACACAATTGCAACATCCAGAGGCAGAGAAGCGTTAAGCCATGTCAGATAACCCCAGATAAGGAATTGTCATTCTCAGATTCTCTAGGTCAGAAAACTATTCTGTTTTCCTGGGCCTCAGCCCAAAATGTAATTCAAGAGTTCTTTTCCATACCTGTTATTTATGCTGGATCTCAGTCTAACTTGGTAACATCCAGCCTCCCAAATATAATTCATAGTGTTTTAATAATATCATTTATTATAGAAAAGATAGAAATACATGTTAAGAATCATGCATGTGTAAAACCTATTAACAGAACTGTTGACACAGGATGAAATGAACAAATACTTTGAAGAAAAAGAGACACTGCAGAACCCAGTGTTTATCCCAGAGTATCATCCCAGCAATACTGTTATTCTTTGTTCAGAGTGATTTTAGTCTGCTTGGGTTTGTTTAATCTCAACATAAATGAAGATATGGATAACCGCATGTATATTTAAGTGTATAGGATTGATAACCATATTACCAAGGTTTTGTTGAATATTTGAACAGAACTGTGCAGTCTCGCTGTTTGAATTCCCACTTTATATGTTCCACTTTTGTATCTTGAATATGTAAACATCAACTAGTGATTTCTTTTACTGTTTATTTTTTTGTTTGAAAGTATGTATTATTTCTACCCATTTTCTGTTTTGTTTAGTCTCTCATTAAATAAAACTTTAAAAATAACATTTATTGAATGTTTATTGTGTGAGAAGCATTGTGCTAATACTTCCTATACACTGTCACATTTAATCCTATCAAAAGCCTTTTGAAGTAATATTTTATATATGAAAAAGTTGAATGCCAAACAAGTAAGTGTCTTCCTCAAAGTCTGAAATTTATGTATGCTGGGATTTAAATCTAGACTTTTCTGGATTTTGATTCTACACTTTTAACTATGATACTGCTTTAAAACTGGGCATTATCTTTTTACCAGGAAAGTCATTTTTTAAGATTGGCATGATAAAGTTGAAATTCTCAATGGTATTTTTTAGGTTTATTTATGATGGTGTCTTCGCAATAGCTAATAAACATGCAGTTTTGGGTTTGAATTCCTTTTCACCCATTGGAATTCCAGAGTTTCTCATAGAATGAATTGCCAACCTTATGAATATATCAATTATTTAACATATTCGGTTGTTTCTATTTTCTACTCTTGGTGGCCAATGACTTGATCTGCTTATTTTTGTTCTTTATAGTTAATTTCACCCTGGACTTAATAAATACCTGTGTCAGATAGTGTTGTAATTTTCAAAGACTTTTTGTTAAATGATTTATGATTTATATCTGACAATGGTATTTTTGTATTGTTCATAAAATAATGAAAATGGAAAGAAATTTCTAGGAAAGTGCCAATTTATCTTTTAAAGGAAGTGTTCAACCGTTTTGTTATCCTAGAACATGTGTTGTTCGCAATATTAATAATAATGAGTGATGCCACTCACTGTTATTCAGTAGGTGCTGAGTTCATGTGAATATTCAAAGTGACTGTCATCTTAAGACTTCTCTTTTTTTTTCAGTGAGTATGTGCTCATTGTGATGTACCAGATACTTCACTACAAAACAATAAACAAATGGTTCAAGTATGACTTCAACAAAGAGAGAAAGAAAGAATGGAGGGTGAAGAATTACATTTTTGAGTGGTAATCTGTCAGCTACAACTAACCAGAATTTATCCCTTGCTAGCCCTCCCTGTATTCCTGAAAGAACCTATAACCATGATGCTAAACACACTATGTGTGAGCTAATCATTACCTTTTAATATCTAGGCATGTTGTAATTTGCTTTAGATTAGTCATATCATCATTTTGCAGCATGAATTTTATCGGGAAAAAAACCCTCATAATTGGAGAAATTGTTTTATGTTTATTAAGCAACTTACAAATTGTGTGTGTTGTATTTTGCTTAGTGCACATGTCATAGAAGGAGTTTCCAACACACAATGAGAACAAGCACAGTAAAAAGCTGGAGATGATCAGTAGAAGTTATCTGGAGGCTTGATTGAGCACATTTTAACAGCTGTCTTTTTGAGAGGCTATCACAGAACTTTGAATATACTACTGTGCAAAACAAGTCTCTATAAGAGGTTTATGAATCTTTGCTATGAATGTTTCTGTCTTCTCCAAAATTCTTAGGGAGAAATCCTATTTCCAAGGAGACAGACTTTTGAAAGAACATCAGGTAATGTGGACTGTGCTCTCATGAATGGGCTGAATGCCCTTAAAAAGGAAATACTAGACTGCTACTTTGCCCCTTTCGTCCTGTGAGGACACAGTGAGAAGGAACCGCTTGTAAATCAGGATGCAGACCCTCCCTGGCCACCAAATCTGCTGGTGCTTACTTGGAGACTTGTTTTCTCTAGAATTGTGAGAAATAAATTTCTACTCTTATTTAGCATCCCACAAAGTCTAAGACAGTGAGAATGTGCCTTCTTATTATTTGGCTACCAACACCTCCTTTTTTAGAAAGCAGTAACGGAGATGAGAATTCCTAAGCATACTCTGTGGAAAAAGAAATTCCATTATAGAAATAAAATTTGAGTGGCCCCCACTTATTTGGGCACAAAATACCATGTTCTCTCAGAAACCATAAATTATTAATAAATATTCCCCATATATTTTGATTGGAGAATAATTTTTACAATCATTTTAAATAATAAGTTACTGATGTGTTGAATTACATTTATTGATTTGTATATGTTAAACCATCCCTGCATTCCTGGAATAAATCCCTTTTGGTCACGATGTATAATCTTGATGATTTGCTGCTTTCTATTTGCCAGAATTTTATTAAGAATCTTTGCATAAATGCTCATTAGTGAGATTGGCCTACAGTTTTCCTTTTTGATTGGGTCTTTCTCTGATTTTGGTATGAAAGTAATACTTGCCTCCAGGAATGATTTAGGGAGGATTGCTTCTGTTTCAATTTCACTGAAGAGTTTAAGGAGTATTGGCATCAAATCTTCTTTAAATTTCTTGTAGAATTCGACCATGAATCCATTAGGACCTGGGCTTTTCTTTGTTGGTAAGTTTTTAATTACATTTTCAATTTCAATAGGTGATTTTGGATTATTCACAATTGCTTATCTTCTTGGTTGAGCTTTTGTAGTTCATATGTTTCTAGAAATCTGCCCATTTCCTGTGTTTTGCACTCTATGTGAGTAGAGATTTTCAAAGTAGGTATTCATGATCTTTCAGTTTCCATGGGATCTGTAGTAATTTCCCCCTTTTCAGGCCTTGTTATGTGAATTTGGGTTTTTTCTTTATTTTTCTTTATAAGGTTAGCTAGAGGTTTGTGAATTTTGTTTATTCTCTCAAAAAACCAGCGTTTTGATTCATTAATGCTTGGTATTTTTTTTTTTTAGTTTCAATTGCATTGATTTCTGCCATAATCTTTACATCTTCCTCTTTTCTATGAACTTTGGGTTTAACTTTCTTTTTCTAGAAGCTTGAGATGAAGCATTAGGTTGTTTATTTGTGCTCATTCTGTTTTCTTGATAAGACAATTTATTGCTGTATATTTACCTCTTAAGACCACTTTCATTGCATCCTACAGATTACAGTATGTTGTTTCTGCACTTTCATAAATTGTATGTATTGCTTTATTTCTTCTTTAATTTCATCTGTTGCCCACTGGTTGTTCAGAAGGTTATTATTTAATTTCCATGTATTTATGCAGGTTTTGTAATTTCTTTTGCCATTAATTTCCAATTTCAGTGCACTATGGTCAAATAATACACATGGGATAATTTCAATATCATTGCAATTACTTAAGAATGTTTTATGGGATGATATATGGTCGATTTTTGAGAATGTCCCATGCACAGCTGAGAAGAATGTGTATTCTGATATGGTTGGGTGGAACACTCTGTAAACATCTACTAAGTCCAGGTATGATTCAGTTCTATTGTTTCTTTGCTGACATTTTGTCTAGTTCGTCTATCTCCTTGTGACAATGGGGTGTTAAGATCCCCTGTTATAATTGTGTTCTTGTGTATTTGGTTTTTCATGTCCATTAGTATTTTTCTTATATAGTTGGGTACTCCTATAATTGATGCATATATATTTATAATTGTTAGTTTTTCCTCTTGAATTTTTCCACTAACGAGTATGTAGTGACCTTCTTTATCTCTTTTAATCATTTTAGGTTTGAAGTTCACATTGTTTGCAAATAAAAGTTACCCCTGCTGTTTTCTGGCTTCCTGTTGCATTGGATACTGTTTTCCATCCTTTGACTTTTAACCTGTGAGTTTCCTTCTGGGTCAGATGTGTTTCTTGTATACAGCATATTGTGGGATCCTGTTTCTCGATCCATTCTGTCAGGCTATTTCTTTTGATAGGTGAATGAGGCCATTTACATTTATGGGTATAACTGATATGTACCGGCTTGACTTTGCCATGTTATGTTCCAGTTGTTTGATTTCTGTTTTTCCTCCTTGTTTAGTTGCTTGTCCTATCTGGTGGTTTCTTTCTATTGTTGTTCTGGAGATTGTGGTCATCTTTATCTCTATTTAGTATGTCTTTCAATACATCACATCAACAGAGCAAAAAACAAAAACACACGGCCATCTCAATAGATGCAGAAAAAGTTTTTGATGAAGTCTAACACATGTTCATGATAAAAATCCTTCAGAAACTCGGAATACATGGTGTCTACCTCAATCTCATAAGGGCCATCTATGACAAACCAAAAACCAACATTATACTAAATGGACAAAAACTGAAAGCTTTCACTCTAAAATCAGGGACACGACAAGGATGTCCACTATCGACCAATCCTTTTCAATATAGTTCTGGAAATACTAGCCAGGGCATTCAGGCAAGGGAGAGAAATAAAAGGAATAAAGATAGGAAAGGAGGAAGTTAAACCATCACTATTTGCAGATGACATGATACTCTATATTGAAGACCTAAAAAACTCCTAGACTACTAGAGGTATTAACAAATTCAGCAGTGTAGCTGCATACAAAGTCAATGCTCAAAAATCAATAGCATTCCTGTACACAAACAAGAAACTCACCAAGAGAAATTATAGAAATAGCGCCTTTCATAATACCACCTAAAAATATGAAATACTTAGGAATCAAACTAACTAAACTATGCTAAAAAAGGAGATTAAAGAGGGTATTAGAAAATGGAAGGATATTTCTTGATCTTGGCTAGGAAGAACCAACATTGTGAAAATGGCCATTCTCCCAAAACTGTTATATAGGTTTAATGCAATCCCAATCAAAATGCCATTAAAATACCTCACAGATCTAGAGAAAACACTCCTGAAATTCATTTGGAAACAGAAGAAACCTAGAACAGCAAAGGCAATTCTAGACAACAAAGGCAAGGCAGGAAGCATCTCAATTCCTGACTTGAAACTATACTACAAAGCCACAGTGATAAAATCAGCATGGTACTGGCAAAGAAATAAACCTGAGGATCAATGGAACAAACCAGAAAATGCAAGCACAACTACAAAGGCATTCAGCCACCTTATATTTGCCAAAGGGGCTAAACATGTTCACTGGAAGAAGGATAGCCTCTATTAAAAAAAATGGTGTTGGAAAAATTGGCTTTCCACATGCCAAAGACTGAAACTAGACATATGCCTAGTACCATGCAAAAAACTAAAGTCTAAATGGATGAAAGATTTAAATATTAAAACATAAACACTAAATCTACTGGAAGACAAGTTAGGTAGAA